ATTGGCTGGGGTCTGGTCTCTGAATGCGTCAATCTTCAAAGCACAGATGGGTGTTTCCCTTCCCCACACGCTACAGAGTCGCCTTTCCCTCCTTCCAGGGATAATTTTACCCCTGCTGGGGGAAAGACAAACATTATTCTGCGCTGCCCTGAATTCTCCCGAGATCCTGCCGTGGTAACTCACACCCAGATGTTTATTAGTTCCTACTCTGGACTAGCGCATAGACGGGGGGAGGGAACCTCTTTTGGGCTGTGGGCCGCTGACCCACAGAAAAATCAGTCAGGAGCTGTACACAAGTGAGAAGCAAAAAACAACCACAAAACCCACCTCTCTCTGACGTAGCCCCTGACTTGGAAGCAGAAGGACACTCCCCACATTGCCCTTGCACACCAGAGCTTAGGGGGGCCCAGACTAGTAGATTTGGGGTGCTCCAGCGCCTGGGATTTGGGACCCCATCAGGCCAGGCACTGCCCAGACACAGAGTCACCGGGATCGGGGCTCCGTGGGGCCAGGCGCTGCCCAGACACAGAGTCACCGGGATCGGGGCTCCGTGGGGCCAGGCGCTGCCCAGACACAGAGTCACCGGGATCGGGGCCCCGTGGGGCCAGGCGCTGCCCAGACACAGAGTCACCGGGATCGGGGCTCCGTGGGGCCAGGCGCTGCCCAGACACAGAGTCACCGGGATCGGGGCTCCGTGGGGCCAGGCGCTGCCCAGACACAGAGTCACCGGGATCGGGGCTCCGTGGGGCCAGGCGCTGCCCAGACACAGAGTCACCGGGATCGGGGCTCCGTGGGGCCAGGCGCTGCCCAGACACAGAGTCACCGGGATCGGGGCCCCGTGGGGCCAGGCGCTGCCCAGACACAGAGTCACCGGGATCGGGGCTCCGTGGGGCCAGGCGCTGCCCAGACACAGAGTCACCGGGATCGGGGCTCCGTGGGGCCAGGCGCTGCCCAGACACAGAGTCACCGGGATCGGGGCTCCGTGGGGCCAGGCGCTGCCCAGACACAGAGTCACCGGGATCGGGGCTCCGTGGGGCCAGGCGCTGCCCAGACACAGAGTCACCGGGATCGGGGCCCCGTGGGGCCAGGCGCTGCCCAGACACAGAGTCCCCGGGATCGGGGCCCTGTAAGAAACATGTTGGTGGGGAGCTTTGTTGAGTTTGCTTTTAGGCTCTTTAAAAGCAGTGTTGAATAGCCCTACCACCCTCCTTTTTAATTCAATAAGGATGCACATTAATAATAAAGCACATAAGATAATAAACATTGCTCACATCAAGAAAAGTGAATCCCCAGCCACTGGGTTTCATTTGCATTGCCAGTAACATTGTAACCACCGCACTATAATTAAGCCACTTTAACCAATCAGGTGTATAAACAGTGGTTGGTCATATCACATAACAAAAGCCACGAAGAATCAGGTGTAATTGTCTCCGAGGGGTAGCCGTGTTAGTCTGTATCTTTAAAAAACGAGTAATCCTGTGGCACCTCGGTTTTTTTTTTCCTCCACCCTCGTCTGAGGGAGTGGGCTTTGCCCACGAAAGCGCGTGATGCCGCGTATACGTTTTTTAGTCTCTAAGGTGCTTCAGGACGACTTGTGTTTTTCAGAGGTGCTTGTGCAGTGCCGGTTGTATCTCAGTGTAAATGCTAGAAAAGACTTGCGGGCCATATCAAACAGGGACTAGAAACAAACGGTCTTTGAAAGGAGTCTGGCATTTGCTGTGGATGGGACGTCGGGACAGGCCCGTAAGCGCCACCAAAGCCCTCGCAAGCCCTCGACTCGCCGTGCTGCAGATGAGTTCCGCAAACATCACAGGCGGAGACAGTAAGTGGTGACCAGCCACTGGACTCGGCAAACGCCAGCCAGAGATCTTAGCACGAGAACGATTCGATTGGCCTGGCCCGTTGTGCGGGGGAGGGGCATTTCAAGGCATCGGAAATCGATGGCAGAGGAACACGAGGGGGAAAAAGACGACGCTGGATTAACACTGTGGGGCCCTGGATCGTAGGCGGCAGATGGGCCCGTAGAGCCCGGACATGGGGAATATTCCTGGCTTTGCCAAAGTTTGGGGCAGGGTCTCTCCCATGGCCCTGCCAGCTGTCCCTGGGCCATTTAAAATGGCTCTGGGTGTTTCATGGGCAGCACAGCGGGGTGGGGTGGGTGTCTCCCTGTGCTGCTCCCATGGCTCCCCGTCCCACACCCCTATCCTGCCAGAGCCTGCACCCAAACTTCCAGAGGTGGGGGGAGTTTGAGTGGGGGAGGGGTGCATCCCCAAAACTTCCACCCCTGCCCTGGCTGGCTCCAAAGGATGATTGAGACGCACAGAGGGCGGTACAGGACCGAGGCCACCTCCCATCACGGAGCTGCGGCAGAAGAAGAATTGAAAATCCCGAGAGCGTGTGTCATGTGGCCTATACGGCTGCTGACGATGCCATGGTAAGATAAGGGCGCGAGACATTTCCGAGCCCGTTCGTAGGGGTTCGCCTGCACGGGCCGGACGAGCAATCGCTCCCTGTTGCTTCAACCCAGCCTCCGTCCCTCATGCTCCGTTTCTCAGGGCCCAGAGTCTCTGCCCCTTGGGGGTTGCGTTGCTTTGTTTCGTCTCCAATAGTCGGGCCCCGCGCAGGGGCACGTGGGGGAAAATCTCTGCTGAACAGGGCAGGGCAGAGGCTCGAACGGTCCACCCAGCCTTGCACTCTACGGCCCAGATAGTCAAAGCAATTTAGGTGTCTAAATCCCATAGGACCAGATGCTTGGGCCCAGATCCCCAGCCAGCTGCCTCTCCATTGGAGTGGATGGGGCCAGTGGGTGTCTGGCCCCTACACAGCTGGGAAGGTCTGGGCCTAGGAAAGAGCACGGTTATTTCTGGCCCCTGAGGTCAGGATATGCAATTGCTGAAGTTAACAATGAGCAGCAATTTGTAGTCATCTGACTAAGTGCAACAGACTGTGGTTTGAGTATTAGCGCTGACAGCAGTAAGCTATTCTGTATTCCCAGGCTCAACAATGTGCAAATACTTATTATTGACTAATTATTAATGAATAACTAATCATTAATGCACTATAATTAACATGTTAAAGCTATAATTGATTAACATTACCACTAACAATGTTACATTACTGTAGATTAACATTTGATGAACAGCCAGAGGCTATGTAACTATTATTAAATCATTATTAATTATTAACATATCTAAGCAATAGTTTATTCATTTTCTTACAAAACATCAAATTATTCTAGATTCATATTTTGTGAACTATTATGTATTAGCTATTTATTAACTATGCAAAAACCTAATTAATATAAATATTAATCTGATTATTATAAAGTAATATTTTATGAACTATCAGTGTATATTATTACTACTTACTAATTATTATTACAAGTAATTATCAATTCATTATCACCAATATAAACTATAATTCATTATTATTAGCAATCAAATTATTATAGAGCAATGTTTATTAATTAGCAGAGGCTATCATAACTAAATATTAGTGTATTTCCAAGAACTGTAAGCTATAATGTATTACTTTTATTACTAAGAAATGCAAATTATTATAGATGAAATGTTTGATTTATGAACTAGCAGGAGTTATTTATTGTTACTTATAACTATTATCTCATTTGAATATTATTTTATAATATATATTATCAATATTTAATATTATTATTATTTAATATTATAATTAACAATTATAATATATTATTTGTATCACTAACAATCTTAAACCATTATAGATGAATATTCTATGACTACCAGTGCCTATTATGATTATTAATAATTTATTAATTTAATATAAGCTTTTACTTATGTTCAGTTCTTGTGTATTTATATTTATACCTACTATCAAAAGCTATTTATTTTGATCAACAATCATAATCCATTTGTTAATATAGTTTCTAACATCTAGATTTACTATTTATTAGCATTATTACTAAGCATTATAGGCTAATTATTTATTATTCATATTTTCTAAATATGTGATTATGCATTGATATCATTACTAAACACCATAGCTAATTATTCATCGTATTTCATTAATATTTCTACTGCAAATTAGCACAGTTGATAACTTTAATTGTGAATGTTCTGAAGCATTCTAAAATATAATATATTAGTATAAATCTTACAGTAGAATAAATTGATATTATTCCTATAATTTCAAATGGATTATTATCAGTTGGTACCGTTCCTGTCTCACACTAACTATTTATTCAAAATTATTAACAACAGCCATGGGCATTTCTTCTTCTTCTTCAATAATTATTAATGATCTAAATGATCAAATTGATTATTATTAAAAGTATAAGTTCTTATTACTAATGATTCTATAGTGTTAACAGTAATAAATGCATTACATGTTATGTTATTACTAACAATCTGTCTATTAGTTATTAACCATTGGGGGGTTAATATATGTTATTAGCAAGCATATGCTATCAATTAATTATTTATAATTATGCTAGATTGGTAATAAATAATAATTCCTTAGTGATCATTTAGATATGCAGAACAGTACTGTAATAATTACACATTATTAAGTAACGTCAAGTACTCCCTCATGCTAGTTCATTAATAAATAATAATTAATATCGATAACCGGAGCTCATTCATAATCATTTAATATTAACAGTTTTAAAATACATTTTCAAAATATAAGCAGTAAGATTAATTCTAGACCAACCAGCATTCTCACCATCAGCGATCCCAAGCTATTAACGAACGCATTGTTAGTATTAATTCTAGCCTCCTAATTGTTCTTGTTGGCCATTCTAGGCCATTCCTGAAGGAATTATTATTGTCGGGGGCACAGTCAGAAAAGTTCCTATTCACAGTTCAAAACTATTATCTAAGACTTCCAGCCGCCGACTCGTGCTAATTCTCGTTAACTATTGGAGGCGACTCGTTATGCAGAGGGGAAGCCCTCGGGGGTTTATTAGTTATTGTGTCTCGTCTCATGATAACCGTCACATTTCGAGGGTATTTCGTGTTACTCACTTTCTCCCCGACGTTTTCTTCGACTCTTCTTATCGGGCCTTTGCGGTTGTTCACGCGCACGTCTCAGGTGGTGGTTGGGGGGTTTTAATGCTGGACTGGCAAATGCCCATTGCAGTCCGTTAAGCAATCTGAGGCCGGTATTCGTCAGGGAGGGTTTCAGGCCAGCAGGCGTTACTAACGGTCGTAGGCTGCTCACTGCTCTTATTTACTTATACCCCCGGCTCTAGATTCGCCACTCACGGCGCCCATGGGTCAGGATGATGAGTCATCCCAGGCTGGTCTCTGTTCCCGGCCTTGCTCGGGTTCGGGAGCCGGGGCGTCTGCTACAGGGCACCCCACTCGGCCCCAGCTTGGTCATGCTCCACCATCCCTACCTCTCAGCCGCTCACTGCTCACTGCTCTTATTTACTTATACCCCCGGCTCTAGATTCGCCACTCACGGCGCCCATGGGTCAGGATGATGAGTCATCCCAGGCTGGTCTCTGTTCCCGGCCTTGCTCGGGTTCGGGAGCCGGGGCGTCTGCTACAGGGCACCCCACTCGGCCCCAGCTTGGTCATGCTCCACCATCCCTACCTCTCAGCCGCTCACTGTGAGCATCATCCTGCCAGGGTGCTGAGAACTACTGAACCTGCCGACGATGGAAGCCACTTGGGGCCCAGGGGGCGGCTGCGCCCGGCGCCCCTTGTTCCGACAGCACCGCCTCTCTTCCCGCTTCACTGCACCCCCGAAAGTCTCGGCACAGACCCCGTCCCGCATGCGCCCCACAGCAGCCAGCACCATCCCCCCGGAGCGCCGGCCCTGAAGCGCATAGCCCTCGGATCACCCCGGTGCGTTTGCTTTCAATGAGATCCTGGGCTTACGAGACCCTCTCCCTCTCTCCCTCCCCAGCCTCTTTGCCAAGTTTACAAGCCCCGGGGTCCCGGCCTCCACGCGAGCCAACGGCCCTGCTGAAATCAGAGTTTTATTACCTCCGCGCGGCTCCGATTTGTTCAACCCTCCGACGGGAGCAGGGGAAGTGGCCAGGCGCGCTGTGAAATTGGCTGCTGTTTTCTGAAGAGTCCTGGCTCCGAGGCCCACCCCACTCCCTCCCCTCTAACCATTAGACCCCACCCACGAATCCTGGCTC